GTTGTTATAGACGCAATCCAGCCCATTTCAGGGAATTCAGTCATCCTCATTGTAAGTAACAAATCAAAGTTATAAAAACTGGCTCGGTGTGTTACTACTTTACCTAGTTGTAAGATACATTATTGCCTAGTTAGAAAAATAATTGGTACCTGAAACAATTGTTTTCGAGTTTCAACATTATATATTTCTTCTGATACTAAGTAAACATCAAATAAACGAGTCCTTTGATAAAAAATGTACTAAAAACTAAATTAAAAATAGCTGTTCAGTACTTATATTCATAGTGCATGCATAGCTACTTCGTTATGTACCAAGAAGGTGAAGATAAATAATTTCTTGATAAGTACAGTCAAAAGGATGGATAGGTTATATATTTCCCTTAAATTGTTCCACTTGATTTTTGAACCACATTACAGTGACAGTAGAGATTAATATTACTTGTTTACAGGGTTTGTTGATAAATATCAATGGATATATATTTATTGATATATACAATGATATATATCAATTTATGTTTATAATATTTATTGTTAGTTTAAGTATTGAGTCTTGGCTAGAAAATTAACCAACTCTGTGTGATGCTGCCAACATTGGCACAAACTAGAAACAATCTTACTAGAAATTTCTGATCTTCCCTTATATGTTACTGGAAATTCTTGCATGCATACAACATTTTAATTATTTTATAATAAATAAACAAATAATTAATAACTTAATTTTTATTTTACACTTTTGATTTAAAAGTTCATATATTAAATAAAGCCACTAGATTTTCATATGCACGATATATGTCAGGTAAATATCTAATATTTATTATGAATATTGGATTTTTGCAAACCCTGTTTGTCATGTGTGTATAATGTAGCTAATTTTAAGAAATTAGCTACATTATCATACACACATGATAAACAGATACAAATAAAATAATCATATTCAGTAAGTAGAAAAATTTTCTTATAAAGATAAATCTTTATACAAAAACTTTCACTACTTACTGAATATGATTATTCAAATTTATTTGTCAACACTACCTTTTGATTGTGTTCACAATAATCAAAATTTAAAGAAATGTTTATTGGATACAAAACATTTGTTTTTCAATTTTATTATTTCAGTGGAGGCCATATTGGATGATTATAAAGGTGTCGGTCCATTTCCTATACCAGGAAAGTATAGGCTTGAACAGAATCTGTTCATAGAGCAGTTACAGGTGATTCTTGAAAAGAAACTTTATGTGCCTGGAAATAAAGTTAAAAGAGATGGAGATACTAGGTAAATATCTTTTATACATAAATCACTTGATTGAACAAGTGATTAGCTGGCTGGCATAGCTGGCTATATTTTTATTTACAAGAACTTGTCTAACAAATTTTATGGGTCTAAAAATAATGTAAAGAATGTAATTTAGGCTGGAAATAGTCAGCATTTGTATTGATCAATTTCAATCAATTTGATTGTATAAAATTTAAAATAAAATGAATAGATGTAAACATATTTGTAATCTTTCTATTTCAGTAATTCTGATGAAACAAAATTGATAAAATCAACATCTGAAGTGACAAATACTTCAAATTCCACTGACAAATTTAATAATGTTAAGTATAGTAAAAATGAAAATGAGACCTCAACTAGTTCAAACAGTGAAAGAAACTCTTCATTGTTACATAAAGCTAGTAATGATAAAAGCAGTAGTGAGAAACCTCAGGGAAAAAATACAGATCGGAATAAAACACCATCAGTTAGCAGTGGAGCCAGTGAGGTAACAAGAGTGAGAGGTGAGCTTCAAACATTCCATAGATTTTGATACAAAAGACATTTAAACTGTCATAAAAGCAATGTATATTATATATTTTATTTGGTTTACAAAAAGCAGTCATAATAATTATTTTCTTTTAATTTTATTATTATTCACATAAATTATTTCACATATATGTATAGTGCCATGAGAAGTGGTGATGTTAGTGTGATTGGATATATGTATTAGTGAAGGGGACAATGTAATGCGCACTAACTAAAATGTTAACAGTACTGCATTTTTGTAGCAAAAATAAGTCAGTGCAGTGATGCAAATGGGCTAAAACTCAGTGGATATTTATTTAAAGAGCAAAGTAAATTTTGGTATAAATGATTCACAAACCTTATCTATATATATATATATATATATATATATATATATATATATAATAAATTTTGTGTCACGATGTATGTTGTCAATAAACTCCAAAACTACTGAACCGATTTCTATCAAATTTCACATGTAGCCGTATTTTGGTCTAACTTACTGGATAGGATAGTTATCATCTCAATTATTCGCTTATGTCGTGAATGTAAACAAATAAAATGTTCTAATTCATTGTTTCTTAAGCAAGTGTTTATTTACTGTTAAGTTTTATGAAGTTCTCATAGATGGCGGTGTACGTTGATTTATAGATAAAATTCTTCAATATCGTTTGACATCTAGGTTGCAAATACACCCAATAGATGGCGCTGTGTCCTAGATGGCGTTTATTCTAAAGTAATCTGCGGTAACGTTTCTTTCAAAGAATTTTGCGTAGATTACGTTTTCGATTAAGTTTTGTGTAAACTTCAGAACTGTTTTTTTTTCATCTTTATTTTAAATTGCATTGAATTGGATTATTATCTCTAAAGTTTCAAAGATAAAGTGCTGAAACATATTGGACATTCGTTGGTATTTTGTTGGACTATCTTCGAACTTAAACATCAAGGTAATTTCATAATCAGCTCAAAAAACAACATCGTTTTTGGAAAATATGATGCCCAAAATAACTATATCACGCGGACGAAGTCGCGGGCAAAAGCTAGTATCAAGTAAAAATTCAGATTGAGTAACTTTTTGTCCACATAAATCGAAAAAGAATTAATAGATTGACTAGTAATTTTAACACAACGTTGCATTTTAAGGTAATGTTATAAAAAGAAAATTATAATGTAAAAATATTAACATGTTGTATAAAAAATTATACAATTGTCATTTTTTTGTGACATTATGTTCAAAATGAAATAACAACGCTAGCTGTTTCCCTGCGATTTTGCCCGCATAAATAGTTTTTAAAAATGGTCATTAAAGTTTCGGAGCCTATTATATGCAAACAATCAAAATTTTTCTCTTTATAATATTAGATTAAGAATTTTTATAACTATGTTTTTTTTATAGGAATAATTAATTGGTATATTTATCTCCAAATTATATCGTGCGTATGCTCTGTTACTTGGTTTTGAATTTCAAAACATCACAATATAAGAATCCGATATTAAATAATCTAATATCGTAATATCAAAGTCGAATTATTTGAGATTTGAGTTTAAAAAGAACCAAAATAATACAATACTGCCAAAATCTAACTAAAAATAAAACAAACAATTTGTTTTATGGATTGGCTACATGGTTATTTTAGTTTTTAAATTATTTATTTCTATGTTATTTTAGTTACAAGTAAATGTACAGTATATTTATTTTGGAATATACTCATCAAGATCTTTAACTTGATACTCATATTGTTATAATTGAAGGAATATTATTTTTATCATATTTTTAAAAGAAGTCATACTTCCGCCATATTGAATATTTGAAAAATATACAGCCAGTGTTACTCAGAATGATGTGAGGTTTCTAACGATATCCTATATATTTATATCCGTTAAATCTGTCAACGCAAAATATGGCTATGAGCATTGTGTTTGTAAGAGATTTCAAGTAGAATAAATGCAGTTGAAAGTAAAGGAGGCGTAAGCAAATTTTGTCTCATTTATTATATGTTATTAAAGATATATTAAATTTAGTAATATCTGAATAAATACGATGCTGTTAATGCATAATTTTTTTACGTAAAAACCAATTGCCGTTCGATTATCTCGCTAAAACTCGAGAACGGCTGGACTGATTTGGCTGATTTTGGTGTTGAAATGTCTTAAATGAATATGACTAGTGTAGTGGTGGACTTATCCCATTAGAGGCCCGGAGCGGCATCAGGCCCGGATGGATAAGTCCCCTCCGTGCGGCTGCAGGCTGTTATTTGTCTTCGGAGCCTTCAAACTGAATTTGCGATTTAAGTAATGGAATTTGTTACCAAGGCTCGAGGTTGACCGCCCCCCCCCCCTCTCCGTAGTCCGCCACTGGACTAGTGTCAGATAAAGCTAACAAATAATATGTATCTACGAGGGTCAAACTGAAAGTTCTTAGAAAATCAAAAACTGATTACATTAGCCAGTTATTAGTTTTATTATATCTTTTCAAAATATTGTCCATTCACGTCAATACACCGCTGCATGCGATGGAACCACTGGGAAAAGCACTTTGCCCACTCGTCCTTAGGGGTCTCTTCAATGGCATCGCGATACGCAGCCACCGCTTCTTCAGCATTCATAAACCGCTTTCCTTTAAGTTTTTCTTTAATTTTTGGAAATAAATAAAAATCACAAGGCGCGAGGTCGGGGCTATACGGCGGGTGACCCAGTAATTCAACGTTTGATGTCGCCAAATAGTCGATCGTTCGCTTGGCGGTGTGCGACGAGGCGTTGTCGTGGTGAAGGAGGATCCTACTGCGAGGTCCTTTCTCTCGAACTTTTTCCAAGACAAGTGGCAAACAATTGGTAGTGTACCATTCTGCAGAAACTGTTTTTTGATCCTCTAACACAATTGTTGCAAAATGACCTATCCTTCCAAAGAACGAGGCCACCATTTTTTTTTCCCGCACTTCGATCTCTCTTCACTTTAGTTGGCAACTCCTCGAAAGGAAACACCCACTGAGCAGATTGTCTTTTGGTTTTAGGATCATAACAGTAAATCCAGCTTTCGTCACCTGTTAGTATGTCGAACACAGCATTTGAGTCACCTCCGTTAAATCTTTCAATCATTTTACGACACTAATCCACACGATGGAGTTTTTGAGCCTCAGTCAAATTATGAGGTATCCACCGGGCGCAAAGCTTCCTGACCGCTAAATGTTCGTGGAGGATTTTGTGCACTTGACTCATACCGATGCCTAAGCTTGTCCGAATCTGTTGATAGGTCACTCTTTTGTCAGTCTCTATCATACGCCGCACAACACAGATGTTATCTTCAGTCGTCGCCGTAGAAGGCCGTCCCTCACGTAAATCATCAGTGAGATTAGTGCGACCACGTTTAAACTCATTAAACCAGTTGTAAACAGTCGCACGAGATGGGGCTTCATCGTGAAAGGCCAATCGTAGTCTATCATAACTTTCTTGTTGACTTAAATGACATCGAAAGTCATAAAAAATCATTGCACGAAAATTTTCTCGTGTTAAATTCATGATGACGTGACACAGACAATTTTCAATTTGCCGCCAAATCGTAAAACAAATGACAAATGAATGAAATATATACTCAGTAATATTGGCAAAGAGTTATATTTTCAAATTTTAGAATTATTTTTTTATTATATTGTTTATAAGTGGCCAGTTCTAAGAACTTTCAGTTTGACCCTCGTATTATGACAACTGAACAAGTTTACTTCATTACTACATTTTTTTAGACTCAGATTATCGCCCTATTGTACCTCCTAAGAAAAGAGCTGAAGACTATCTGAAAGTAGTCCTTCCCAGAGGCAAGATGGTCGCCAAACATGACGCCAGCGCTCCCTACCACGTGTTCTATACGACCATCAGTGACGCGAAACAGACGCACAATCAACCTTACTCTATCACATTTTTAGGTACTTTATTTTCCTTTTTGTAGTTACCCCAAGTTGAGTTGTTGAGAATTGTATTCAAAATTGTATATTTTTTGGTATGCTGACATACTCCTCTATGTGTACCACAATACTTAAAACAGCGATAAAATAGAAAAGTATTTTTGTTTCTTTAACAAAGATTAATAGTAAAGCTTTTCTTTTAGAAATTCTAGACCGCAGTCTTGGTGAGTTGAAATGTTCGTTGCAAATAAATTTCATGGTTGAAATTGGATGGTTGTTAGCGCAATACTACTTTGCCGGTTATAGCGAGAAGAAATTAACAATACTCTATGGTGAGGACATGGAGGATTTGAGGACCATAAACAAGAAGAAGCCGCATGTGGATGCACATCATGTCTCTATGGCCACACCGTTCGGGAAACATCATACGTGAGTTGTCTAACTAGATATGGTTAATTGGCCTAGTTAACTAACCTTTAATGTAGCATTGTACAAAATTTATCAAATACTCGTATAATACATAAGGTTTTTCAATATTTCGTGTATAAAAATAAAAAGTGAAAAATGCCTCCACTGCGTGCGTGCGTGCGTGCGTGCGTGCGTGCGTGCGTGCGTGCGTGCGTGCGTGCGTGCGTGCGTGCGTGCGTGCGTGCGTGCGTGTGCGTGGGTGTGTATTTAAGTTTTACTATGATTTTGACATATAAACTGAAATATAGAAACATGTAAAGCATTTATTAACCAATAAACTAAAAAAATATCTCTTTTAATCTTTCCGATGATATCATAAATTGTAATTGTATAAATATTTAATTTTGTCATTCCAGTAAAATGATGATACTTTGTTACGAGGATGGTTCGCTAAGAGTGGTGGTGTCTACTGCCAATCTCTACGTAGACGATTGGGAGAATAGGACTCAGGGGTAAGTGCGTTGAATTTTTCTAGATTATCTAAATATTATCTAAGGATATAAACTTTTAAACTTTTGCGTTGCATTATATTATATTGTATAAAACGGGTATTAACGCGATCAAATTTCCAATAGTTAGGTTTTTCACCTATCTATATTTCCTGACGTTTCGACCAGGTTACACTGACAGTGGTCACGGGCTGACTGTTTCTTGATTTAAAGCTTAATTGTTTTAATTTATTAGCTTTATTGAACACATTTTTCATAAGATATTTTTGACTTATAACATAAATCTTACATAGGAAGTTTTGGCCGAATAATACGGCCGAATAAAACCGAATAATACGGCCGAATAAAACCGAATAATACGGCCGAATAAAACCGAATAATACGGCCGAATACAAATAGTAAAAGGATATGGAATATGCCGAATACCAAATATCAAACGAATATTCGGCGCATCTCTAATAACCTTATGTACTTTTCACAGTTTATGGTTTAGTCCGAGATGTCCGGAACTCCCTGCGGACGCTATGCCACACGACGGGGAATCCCCTACTATGTTCAAGAAATCTCTACTTAAATATCTGAATCATTACCACTTGCCTTCACTGGCTTATTACATGGAGAGGGTGAAGAGATGTGATTTTAGCCATATAAAGTGAGTATAAATATATTAGTGGTTTGCATTTATAGAACTCTAATTTAAGGCGTAGATATACGATATTCATAGGTTTTCAATCTAATATCGCACCTTACCAAGCATATACTATATCAAGGTCGCCGAAAAGACAGAATTTTGTTCAATGACCCGGCATTACATATCCTTTTCACTCGTGTTGTGTCATCACAAACGTATTACTATAGTCTTTTGCACATAACATGGATACGGTGCCGTTTGGGATATGAAATTTTTAGTGATGTTATAATAAAAAATATATATATACCTACAAAAACGATATTGTTGAGTTCATTTCTAATAGAGATTTTTAGGTCAATATTTAAAAAACAGGATTTAAAAAAAAAACATATTTTTTCATCAACAAGATGATCCCGAGTCAGAAAAATATAAAGTTTTATTATAGTTAAGTTTAATTGTTACGACAACAGTAACCTAGAAATTGACAAATTATTACCGAATACAAAGTTTCGAATAAAACGACTTTATTGATGCAATCCCTATTAAATAAACGTACCAATTTTTGTAACAAGAATTAATGTTTTAAACTTTAGAGGATTAGATTCCAGTAATTATGACTATTAAAAAAATATTTGTATTTAATTATGCAAATTCAAAATCTAATAAATATCTAAAATATATACAGTCAGTCTATTTTTTTATAACGTCTACTAATTAGTTGAAATAAAAATATGGTATTCTACTCTGTTTGAATAAAACTTATAATTGTTTATGTTAATTTAAAAAAATCATTAAACATCGTCACATAATGGCGGGTCGTGTTTCAAGTCACGACACACAGATAAAAATTTCACGACTTTTAATCTCTATGTTTATTACAATATAAATTTTAGTTTTTGTCTAAAATGTTTACGACATCTATTAGTAGGCACAGAGGTCCGGGCTTTATACACTTGTACAATAATATACTCGAGATTAAAAAAGTATTTTTAAATTTAATTTTTAATTTTTATTTTAAAAATTAATTTAATACGCATCAGATGTATTTTATCAGATGAACATGTAGGGAAATTCTGCTAACGTAAGCGTAATTATGGAAAGTCAATGACAAGACATAGCACTTATAGTATTGGACTTAAGGTAGATAGTACAATGGCAAATTGCAAGTAGTTGAGACTTATTGAGATGCTTTTATTGCATAAAAATTAGCAGAATTGATCAGACTTTAATTTTAAAATGTTTTTGAAAAATTGCTAATTACCCTATTTGTTTAATTATAAATTATTCGGCGCTTTATCTGTGATGGATAATTCGTTACTTCTATATGTAAATACAGCGTGTTTCTGGTGGCGTCAATACCAGGGTCCCACTTTGATATGGAGTGGGGATTGACTCGCGTTGGTTCACTGCTGAGACAACACTGCTCTATACCAACTGATCAAAACAAACAGTGGCCGCTTATAGCGCAGGCGAGCAGTATAGGCAGCTTCGGGAAGGAACCTAAGGTGAGTTTAGACATAAAAGGGGTGGGATGTCATATTGGTAAATAAGGTACAAAAGCGAATCCATGGGGGGGTCATGACTTCCCCCTGTGCTGGTTCCAGGACATGGTGGACTTAAGTAATATTAAAAACATAATATTTTTATTTAAAGGTATATTTTTCCAAAATATAGATTTTATTTAAGTATGTTCAATATTTAATAAATACAATTAAAATGATAACGCGTTTTGGGAGAAGATGTAAAAGAAAAATTGATCTTGTTATTTAAATATATAAATATTTTAAACTTTGTGTGACCTTATTTATGGACGGCCCCCTGGCCCCAAAGGTGGATCTGCACTTAATAAGGTACCGTCGCCTAATAACGCCTAAAAACTAATGTATAAAACTAAAAGTTCCAAAACTTCTAGAACATATAATACGTTATATCCCTGTAATATATAAATATAAGAAACATCGTTTTTTGAAAAACTGAAATACGTTATAACTCTATTCTCTTGATCTTGCTGATCGATCGGTTTAAGACTGTCATTGAGACGTTACAAAACAATGAGCCTTATTAGACAGCATCACCTTATATGCGTTACGAAAATGTTAAGCTAAACTCCTTGTTTTAATTTAAGGCATGTTTCCCTCTATACGTGTCTGCCAATGCCACGTCGGTGGCCTTTACACGTACGGACTGACAAATTTCTTAAGCATGTTCTATTTTCACTTCAGTATATTCATCGATGTAAAGGAAATCTACCTAAACAGCCGAAAGAAATATTTTAAGATAAAATGTGTTCTAATTATTATGTGTTTAATTTTGTATTCACATTTCAACTTTAACTTTTTAACTACATCTCGATAGTAACTTTCTGTTTGTTCTAGTTATGGCTCACTGGCGATTTCCTTCAACACTTTACTAGAATAAAGAACCCGCCTACGGTTCTTTCGCAGCCTCCACAACTTAAAATAATATACCCATCGTTAGGTAAGATTTCAAACATTCGTATGATCACTATAGTATAGAATTTCAACCATGACTCAACATAACATTAAAGTATAAAATGAGTCTTATTACAATGACTATAAAGTGTGCCGGTGTGCGATGTAATTATGAAATGTAATTTTAATAAAATTTGTAAAATCAACCCATGGTATTTTGACCTCTGGTCGGGTGGTTCTCACGTCGCTTTCAAGGTGTTACCTCTGAGCTTCCAGTGGCTTGAATTTTAAAATTTGACATTTGAAAGTTATTCATGAATTTCACTTCCTTGACGGTCATGGGCCTTAAACCCTCCGCGTGCCTTCCGATGCGCTGATTAGCTTGAGATTATAATTTTTTGGTCATCCATCCCGTGACAGAACCTTGCGAAAGTTGCTTAACAACAATGATCGCGGGCCGCGGCGCTTATCCGCCATTTCACCCAGCTACTTTAATTTTTATTTTATTGTTAAGAAAACGTGAGGCAGTCCCATGACGATCTATTGGGTGGTGGATGTCTACCTTACGCGGCCGACGCTCACGCTAAACAATTGTGGCTCAATGATTACTTATAGTGAGTATTTTTATGCTTGTAAGTTACTTCGTATTATAGTATGCAGTGAGTGTCGCCAGCTGAGGGGGAGGGGGGGGGGGTAGGTAATTATTATGAAAAATGAGGTAAGTATGACTTATAAAGATACACAATCTCTTGTCTGTAGAATAAATGAAACTTGTAAATAAAGTATTACTTTTTTTAGAAAGTATTACATTTGTTACAAAAAAATAAAAAATAATAATAAATTGGAGGTCTCATTTTCCCGCTTTAACAATAGCATAGAGCTGAGTGTAGTAATAGAATAGGTAACATATGTTAATATAATATATGTAATACGACATATGTTATGATCGAATTTAAAAACTTAAAACTTTGGTTGGTTTACATTAGGCAACTTTTTCAGAATCTCTATGGGGAGGGGGGAAGCAACATGATAGTATAACCGTAGTACGAAAGCATTCAAAAATTATTGAATAGTATTTAGTCTCTTTGTATTGAATAGTATTTAGTGCGATTCGCTAATTTATAAGGCATTTTGCCCTCTTTTTCTCTGACAACTAAGAGATTAGTCCCATTAATTTTGGGAACATCTGCACTGGACCGTTCTATTCTGTTCAGTGCTCGTGTCGGTATATGATGAAACGGTAGACTGCATGTCATCTCAGATACTAAAAAATATGTTTTTGTGAAATTGTTTTTCATCATGCACGTTCATTCGTGTAAATTGGGCTTTACAATTTGTTACAGTGGCTATTTTTGACACTTGTCTAATGAAAATTATCGCAAATCCGTATTCAAAGGGTAAAAACTGAATCCTATTACTTATCACATGAACCATGACAGTCAGATAGATGAATTTGTCTCAGATTGTGTTGGCGAGTATAACAATAAATACTAAAAACGTATTAGGTAAATATTTAAGGGGGAGGGGGGGAGAGTTTTGAGTTTTTTTTTATAGATGGTGCGGAATCTTTCGTGCGCGAGTTTGAATCGCATTTGGCGGGTTTTTTAATACATGCTTTATTTTGTACAGTCAATGGAAAGCTACGTCTACGCATCGTGACCGAGCAATGCCACATATAAAGTGTTACACCCGGGTATCACCGGATTACAACCGGGCGGCTTATTTCTTGCTCACATCCGGTAATGTGAGCAAGGCCGCCTGGGGACAGAAGAACAAGAAGGACCAAGCTCTGAGGCTCATGAGCTGCGAGGCTGGAGTTCTGTTGCTGCCTCAGTTCGTGGTGAGTGAACCATCTAATCTACAGATAATTAAAATAGGGTTGATGACAACAATTTTTTATATTTTTGTTTTATTAAAATTTACCGCGGAAACGCCACCTTCTGTGATGGTGTTACTATGACATCACGGCCATCTGAAACTAATATCGTTCTATGCATAAGGTTGAATGAAAGAGGGGCTTGACGTCACGCGCTGTTTGCGGTCACGTGAAAACGAGCATATTTTTTTTTTTATATCGGGTTGGCACAAAGGTAATGTGACACTTGGTTTAAGTTTTTATTTTTTTATTATTATTACAATAAAAAAAGTTTAGTCAATGATGTAATTACCATTAGTATCTAAGACTTCTTGCCAACGATCCGGCAAAGTTTGGATGCCTTTTGCCCAGAACTCTGATGAACTTTTTCGAAGCACAGCTTCGAAAATGTTGTTCAACTCCGCCTCTACGTCAGAGAAATCATTAAATTGTTTACCCCGCAAATGCTGTTTCAGGACTTTAAACAAATGATAGTCTGATGGGGCGAGGTCTGGGGAATAAGGTGGGTGGGGTATCGTCTCCCAGCCCAAGTTCTCCAACTGCCGGCGAACCACAGATGCGACGTGAAGTCGAGCGTTATCGTGCAGTAAAACTACATTGACTCGTCTTCGTCGTTTTTTCTTGATAGCGGCATATAATTTGGTAAGCTGGGTTGAATATTTGTCAGCGTTTATAGTTTCATTGGGTTATAGCTCATAAAACAGTATGCCTTGCGCATCCCAGAAACAGCAAAGCAGAATTTTTCGGCGGTTCTTTTGACTCGGCTTCGGTTGTGTTGGTGGCGTTTCTTCTCGAGGCAGCCAAAAAGCACGACGTGTATCTTTCTCGTAATAAATCCATGATTCATCTCCAGTAACCAGATCTGACAAAAACTCTTTACGTCGGGGTCGCAGCAAAAGTGACTGACAGATAGCGACACGGACTGCACGACTGGCGTCTGTAAGGATGTGCGGTACCCACCGAGCCAAAACTTTTCGATAGCCAAGCTCATGCAGATGGTGTTCCACGGCGTGATGACTGCATTTAATTGCTTCCGCTATTTCACGAGTGGTAGCATCCGGATTCAACTGCAGTTCGCGGCGCAAATCGTCATCATTCACTGCGGGTGGTCGCCCTGAGCGTGGCTGACTTTCAAGGCTCCTGTCTCCTGATTTAAAACGGTCAAACCATCGGGACAACGTCGCATGGCTTGTACTTCCAACGCCTAATGCATTGTTGATATTGTCAGCCGCAGCCCGCGCACTGGCCTAAGAAGTACTCGTATAAGTATAGTGTTCGAACTTGTCGCTCGTCCATTTTTCTTCAAACTGACTAAACAAATCGCGAGCGTGGCTTTATATACCCTACACCAGAAGTACCTAGAATGTTCTACAACATTCTAGAATATTATCGAAAAAATTGATTTTAAAAAGGAAATGTTATAGATTTTTCTAGTAGACACATTACTTTTGTGCCAACCCAATATATGAATATAAGCATTATTATCGGTAATAGTATAACACTACTAGAAAAAAAATTAAGGCTACTTTCCACGTGGACGATGTCGCGGGCACGGCTAGTTTAAATTAATCTTTATAAGTCTGTGAATGACGTCAAATGAGGAGCTCAAGGGTGCGGTGTTTAGCGCGCTCGGTCTAGTCGGTCTGTCTGATACATTTGTTAAACAACTTTCGCAATGGACGGTCTTAGGATGTGTGACCAAAAATTTATTATCTCGAGATCCTCCGTGCTTCGGAAAGCTATTCGTCTTATTTTTATTACTAAGGAGATATAAGAAGTTTTGATGCTCTATGCGTAACATCACAAATACTTACCTATACGAATCTAAATGAAAAATTAACATAAGAATGTTTTCGTTACTTTTTGTTTTTTTTGTAGAATTTTATGTTATAATTAATAAACAATACCCGGGTCGGTTGACTTGACAGATGGCCCCTAGCGAAAGTTCATGTATCTCCAAAAAGCATTGCAAACGGGACACATTAACAATTGCACCTTCGTGTTCTATTTTATTATCACTCAAAGATAAAGAAAAACAGGGTAGTCCAAGTATATTTAGGGATGCTAACCAAATGTTGAGAACCCCTGATTTGGATGAATTGAAAGTATTTTTTTTTTGTTTCAGATAAAGGAGGATTTCTTTCCGTTGGAAAAAGGCGCGCTCAATCGACTAGTTTTACCATACGACCTTCCCCCCACAAAATATACGAGCGATATGTCACCATGGGTCTCTGATTACTTGCGATAAATAAACCTTCACAGATGTAGATTTTCTTGCTATTGTACCAATATAGGTTGTAAGAACAAATTTCTATATTTTTGTGAGAAATTAACAATGAAAATCTGTTGGAAAAGGATAGAAATATATCATTCTATTATGTTATTAGACAGCGTGTGTGTCGCACGAGTAGAGTTGCCAACATTTATTAGAAGAAATAGAGAGATGACATCACAATATTTCACTCTACAGTTTACGTCGTCGGCCACGAGAAGGGTCTGTTATATGTGATTTGAATCCCCGCCTAGCAAACATGTTAATTTATATTTTAAAATTAATGTCGCTACGAAGATATTGTAATCATATCTATTACATCGATTTTAAAGTTGCATCTGAGTTTAAGTTCAGTTGCCTAAAGTACAAGCCTCACCAACTTTTTTCATAGGAGGTAAATAAAGAGTACGAACTTAGAACAAGAGTATGATTTATTTAATAGTTTTCCGCCAGCGGCCAGTGCCAGCCTGCATAGTTCCTAAGGAATCGTTTACTGGGATAAAAAGTACTTAACTGTATGCTAATTCAGGCTTAGAATTATCCATACACCAAATTTCATCAAAATTCGTTCAGTAGTAGACATACATTGCGTGATTGGCGCTAGTATAATAAACATTGTGTTACAAAGAGTATTTTAGCGTCCTCTTTAATCTATTACAATACTCTATGGCAAAGTACGGTTGGCAACCTTACGCACGAGTGCTATCTAATGACTTCATAAGTGTGTGTTTATTCCAAAACGTTTTTCACAATAGTTATAATTATCTCCTTTTATTATTGGAATTCAAAGATCTTAGAGAGTCTACCGGCTAATAGTATGGGAGAAAAACCGATTTTAACTAGAAATTGTGGGAAAATATTATATCTTATACATTTGTGGGAGTTCCTAAAAACGCAAGTAATCAGCTGCGATTATAGAAGACGTAAGAAATGATATTTTAGGTTCGATCTCTTTTCCACTGGTTTAATGTAAAATGATTATTATGTTGTTAAATTATAATGTTAAATCGACTTATATTCTGTGTATATCTGACAGAAGATACGTCGCACCTCATCTCAGTCGTAGAACGTCAGAATTGACAAATTTCAACCTTGCATATACGACGTTTCTCTGTTGCGTACTAGCGCATAATATGCGAGCCAAATAAAAATAGGGTCAGGTTAGCTAGCAACTTCACGGCTTAGCTGTCATTTTAGTATTGACCGCAAATAAAATAAAGGTTACTAAATATTATTAAGATTCGTTTAACTTCATACTTATATTTTTGGATTTATTATTAATATTGACACGATTTTGTCAAATAAAAAAAAAAACATTTTCCACATTGATATTTTTGGTATTTTCTTAAATATGAAGTAGATCCTGATCATTCTAAATGTGTCGCCATTCTATGTCAGTACTCAGTGTGCAGTAATTCATTATATCGCCAAGAAAAAACGTTGATTAAAAAAAAAAAATGTTCCTTTTTTGCACACTTTACACGTATACTGTGTAAAGTGTGTCTATTTTAATTTGGCTCGCAAAATAATTGAGTGTGTCGCTTGATGAATATTCCGTCAGATTGCACACAATTTATTTTGTTACAATTTTCTTTTTTTTTTCCATTGATTTCGAATAAAATTACTTTAAAATGTTGAGTGACTTTATATTTTTTTACCATTTAGATTAATATCTACTCGCGGATAACGCTTACCTTAAAAATTACAGTTAACGTTATTATTATTCCATATATTTCAAAAAATATCTGGTGTCAAATAGTTGAGGCGTGAGGTTAGTGAATATTAGATTTTAAAATAAAACAAATTGGGTTCCGGAGGAATTAGGCTGCAGAAGACTTAAGAATAATATAATAGTAATAAATCATTTATTCTTTCTACACAAAATCATGTTCTACCATGTGAGTCTTAAGATTCTTAATATATTTTGTATTTTAATTTTGTGAGAGACTGGAGCCTGAAATTCAGGTTTCAAAGAATATATTGAGCTTACCTAATTACTAATTGTTATGAAGATTTTGTATAACCTGACGTGCTGAGATCATCGCTTTCTTTCATTCATTTCATTTTACATGAAGAAATTAAGTTATTCACTTGATATTGGCGGAATTATGCGAAATGCGCAGATAAGGAATTGATAAAACGAGGAATTATTATTTTTATAGTAAGTAACTATCAAAAATATATTTATGAATATAGTACATAGTACCGAATAACAGCTGGAATATTAGAAGCAAGTATATTTTAAATCTTAATTATAGATATTAAAACCGCAGACTTGGCGAAGAAACTGCAGCGTAATTTTGCTAATGTTAGCGTAATCATGGAAAATCACCAGCGCTCAACTACAAACCTCTATGACACAGTTCTTGTTACTAGATCACAATATAATAAATATATTTGTCACATTTATTTGTGAGGAAGACATCTGTACGATATTAAGCAGGGGTTGGCGACTCACCGCAAGCGATCCTTTACCGCCATTCGAATTCACAGTAAAAACCGTCACCCAAGGATTAAGGGTGGGGATTTGGAACGAAGACAGCTAATCGCCTTGCCCATAGACAATAAAAAAATTACCCACAGTTGTGTTGTCTTTTATAGTTAATTATCAATCATCTGTTTGGTTACGGAACAACATCTAATAATATTAAACTTCAGGTAGATAGTACAATGGAAAAATGTAAATAGTTGAGAAAGAGAGATACAAGAGTTAAAAAATCACTAAATTTATTAGTAGGTATTTAGTTCATAAAATATACTTAAACTTACATTTAATGGAAGAAACGGATTCAGCAACCACTAGATGTTTGTT